GAAAATCAAGTAGAGAAAAGTTCATTTCTAAATTCACAAGACTGAAACTTTTTTACATATACTCTTCCATCAAAATACATAAAAACATAGTCAATTACTGGCAACAAGGACAGCAAGAGAAGGGCAGTGACAGCAAGTGACGTTTCTGTAGAGTACCTGACTGCAAATAAATGCTTCTGCAAAAAATAAATGTTATGATTGATGTGAAAAGCAAGGGTCTTAATGTCCCAGTGAATTCAATCATTCAAAATATATATTATTTCTAACTATTTACAAACACACGTTTATATGATCTTAAAGATAAACTTGCATAGCAGGGTCTTTGACAGCTGCTGCCAATCTGTCATGTTCCTACCTTGATTCACTCTTGGTACCATTTCCTATCCCGCAAGGACCCACAATAAGGGCAAAGAAGTTTGCTATTGTATATTCAGCTCACAAAATGTCAGCTAGCTACAGAGAATAGCTAATATTAACACACGGTCCAATTAAAGTTGGTTCTCCAAATACAACCTTTGCACCTATCATATATATAAGTTAAACAATATAACTTTTAGAACGAATAAATTCAGTAAAGATGCAAGATATAAAATCACCATACAAAAATTAGTTGCATTTCTATATACTAACAAGGAACTATTTGAAAAGGAAATTAGGAAAACAACCCCATTTATAAAAACACCAGGTCAGACGTGGTGGCTCACACCTGTAATACTAGCACTCTGGGAGGCTGAGGCGAGAGAATCGCTTGAAGTCAGGAGTTTGAGACCAGCCTCAGCAAGAGCGAGACCCCATCTCTACTAAAAGTAGAAAGAAATTAGCTGGGCAATTAAAAATAGAAAAAATTAGCCAGGTGTGGTGGTGCCCGCCTGTAGTCCCAGATACTTGGAAGGCTGAGGCAAGAGGATTGCTTGAGCCCAGGAGTTTGAGGTTTCTGTGGGCTAGGCTGACACCAGGGCACTCTAGCCCAGGCAACAGAGCAAGACTCTGTCTCAAAAATAAATAAATAAATACATACATACATAAATAAAATGACATCAAAAGGAATAAAATACTTGGAAATAAACTAAGGAGTTGACTACCTTGTATACTGAAAACCACAAAACATCGATGAAAAAAATTAAAGATGCAACAACCAAATAGAAAGACATCCCATGTTCAGAGAGTAAAAGACTTAATATTGTTAAAATGTTCATACTACTCAAAGTGATCTACAATTTCCATGCAATTCCTACCAAAAGTCCAGTGGAATTTTTTTCAGAACAGAAAAATAATTGTAAAATTCATATGGAATCTCGAAGGACCTCAAACAGTCAAAATAATCTTGAGAAAGAAAAACAAAGCTGGAGGCATCACACTTCCTGATTTCAAAACATATTACAAAGCTACAGTAATCAAAACAGTGTGGTATAAGAACAGACATATAGACCAATGGAATAAAATAGAGTGCGTAGAAATAAATACACACATATATAGTCAGCTGATCTTGGACAAGGTTGCCAGGAATATACAATGGAAAAAGGATAGTGTCTTCAACAAATGATTTGGGGAAAATTGGATATCCACATGCAAAAGAATGATGTTGGACTCTTACCTTATACCATATATAAAATGAATTAAAGGCTTAAATGTAAGATCCAAAACTATAAAAGTCCTAGGAGAAAACATGGGGAAAATCTTTGTGACATTGGTTCTTGGCAATAATTTCATGGATATGACAACAAAAGCACAGGCTACAAAAACAAAAATAAGCAAGTGGGACTATATCCAAATTAAGAAGCTTCTGCACAGCAAAGGAAAAGCCAATTAAAGAATGGGGGAAATATTTGAAACCATACATCTGATGAGGGGTTAATATCCAGAATATATAAAGAACTCCTGCAACTAAGCAAGGAAAACACAGACAACCTAACTAAAAACGAGCAAAGAACCTGAATAGACACACTTTTCCAAAAATGATATACAAATGGCCAACAGGTATATGAAAAAGTGCTCATTGTCACTAATCATCAGATAAATGCAAATGAAAATCACAAGATAATTGCTCACAATTGTCAAGATGGTTATTATTAAAAAAACAAAAGACAACAAATATTGTCAAGGATGTGGAGAAACTGGAACCCTGTACAATGGTGGTGGGAATGCAAAATGTTGCAGCCACTATGGAAAATAGTATGAAGGTTCCTCAAAAAATTGAAAATAAGATAACCATATGACCCAACAACTCCACTTCTGGATATTTACCCAAAAGAACTGATATCTAGATCTTGAAGAGATAGTAGCACTCCCACGTTCACTGCAGCACCGTTCGCTATAGCTGAGATGTGGAAACGACCTAAATGTCCATCAGAAGATGAATGGATTTAGAGAAAATGTGGTAGATACATACAATGGAATATTATTCAGCCTTAAAAAAAGAAAGATATTCTGCAATGTGCAACAAGATGGATGAACCTTGAGGACATTATGCTAAATAAAATAAGCCAATCACAGAAAGACAAATACTGCATGATTGCACTTATATGAAGTATCTAAAATGGTCTCATTCATAGAATCAAAGAATGGAATGGGAGTTTTCAGGGGCGAGATAGAGGAGAAAATGGGGAGAAACTTAAGTGTCAATTAAGCAAGATGAATAAGCTCTAGAGATCTGCTGTACAACACTGTGCCCAGAGTGAACGATAATGTCTTGTACACTTACAACTTTGTTCTGAGGGGAGGTATCATATTAAGTTGTCTTACCAACGATAAAATTAAATCAAATTTTTTAAAAGGTGGTATATGGGGCACTGTACCTGATGATTCGTCCAGCATAAAAGACATGTTTTCATTTCCGGAGAGGATGCTGTATGTTACTTTTCCATTCCTTCCTTCATCTGGATCTTGAGCCGTTATATGGTGCACCAAGGAGCCCACCATGACATCTTCTTTGACACAGGCCATGGGGAAAGATGTAAAAGTAGGGCTGTGGTCATTTACATCCAAAATCACTACTTTTGCCGTCAGCGAGCTCAGTCGCCGGTCTGTCACATTCACGGCCTGATCAGACGCAGTTACGGTCAGGATGACCGCCGGAACGCTTTCTCTGTCAAGGGGGGATGCAGTGACTAATGTGCCAAATGAGGGGTGGATGAGAAATGGATTGATTCCAGGGTGGTGGGATTCAATGAAGTATTGCATTCTACTGTTCAAAAAGCTGCCGTCGCCATCTTTGGCATTGAAGACATACACCAGAGTTCCTACGGGAACATTCTCTTCTATGCTTATCACAATCAACTCATCCTGGAAAGACGGGGAATGGTCATTCTGATCTTCCACATCAATACTAAGGAAGACTGTGCTATTCAGGGGAGGATTTTTGCTATGGTCTGTAGTAATCACCCTGAAAAGATAATGAGATGTTGTTTCATAATCAAGTTCCTTAGAAAGAAACAAGTCTCCTGTCGAGCTGTCGATTTCAAAGTGACCATCCTTGTCATCTGCAACAATACTAAAATGTAATTTTCGGTTATAATGCTGTTGATGGTGATCAGGTGACTTTATCAAGCTCATTATTTTTGCAGGCTTCAAGTTTTCTGGTATAACTAAATGTCTGATATTCTGAGAAATGATCGCTGTCCCTTTGGATAGTGGGATCACCTGAAATAAGAATAAAAAGAGATGTTAATTTGGGGTATGTTTTTATGTTTTACATAGTTGAATCAATACATGTAATGATATTATTTTGGAAGTTAATTCCTTCCATTTGTGTGATACACATGTTAGTTGCTAAGAAAATGTCTTTTTTTATATTGTATAATTCTAGCATGTCTCAGACAATTGAAAAGTGCGTAATCCTTTGGAGATAAGAAACTACAGAAATTTCCAGTTCCCAGTTTTCTGTAATGGGTGAAATGATAGTTTGGTGAGGCTGTGCTATAGTTATGTAGTCTTGTGATTCTTCAGTGAGAACGTGGAATAGCTAGTTCTCCAAATTACTGTAATGACGACATCTGTGTACATTTAAGTATCATACGTCTTTGTCTGAAATAAGAAATTGGAGGTATGACCATATAGGTTTTTCTCCTAAACTACATAACCTTAATCAATACAAAATATAATACGGAAAGAGAACTCTTGGGGATATATATGCTTGATTATTTCATATACATATATTAATACAAGTGATTATCATGTGCATAAACAAAGAAATATAGCTATGCACAGTCATCTTATTTTTGACTGGTTGGTGTAATTTTTTCCTACTGTGAAGACTTCCTACACTTGTTTGCTCATTACGATTCAAGTAAAGCCTTAAAACATGGATCTCAAGAGACTTTTCTAAGTTTAAAAAGATTACAAAAACTATGTGATTATGTGGCCATTTATCTACATACAAGTTTCTCCTGCAAATGTACTGGGTCCTTGCAATTAGGAATAAATACAAGAAAAGACACCTTTTGTTTACCATACAGTGGTGAATATCTTATCAGAACCATACAAAGCTAATTTAAAAGTAATTTGGATCTAAATCATTTCTCTAGTGATATCAAAAAGGCAAATATATCTGTACAGTGCTCTCTTAAAAATAGCATTTATATGCTGAATTTATCTTCACTCCATAAAGTTGTATAAGTCAGATGAAACCTTCAAATATCCTTCCACATTTTATGTTAACGAAATTACCTGAATATTAATAACGGCCTGGCCTTGAAGAGGAGGCACTCCCTGGTCACTGGCAATGACAGTCATCCTGTAAGAAGGTCTATAATCATATGAAAGTATTGTGGTTGTTCTTATCTCACCACTGTTGGCATCAGCCTTAAAGTGATCAGAACCATCTTCTATACACACATGAAAAAATTAAGAAATATATGTTAATTGACACTGCAGAGAACAGAGAATCAATTAATCCAACATATCTCTGATCATCTGGAAGATTTATTTCCCTTAAGCCCTATGAGAGAATGAAACATGCTGGAAAATGGCACTAAAAATATAAACAAGGAACATAGATTTTTAAAAACTTTTATTATGCAAAATTTCAAGCATTTAACAAAAGTAGACAGAATAAGATAATGAACTCCCATGTGTCATCACCTAGCTTTAACAATTACAAACTCATGGCCAATCTTATTTCATTTATTTCCCCTCTATATACTTCCCTTCCCCATTTCTTTTGAAGCAAGTTCCAGAAATTATATCATTTCTTCTGTATATATTTAAAAATGCATCTCTGAAAGATAATGAATATTTTAACATAATCACAGTACCATATTATACTTTAAAAATTAATCATTCACTAGTATCAGCAAATATCCAGTAAGTTTTCAAATTCCCAATCATCTCACACACACCTTTTAAAAATATTTTTAGTTTGCCTCATTTAGGATCAAAATAAAATCCATACAGTGCCTATTTCTTCAATCTATGGATTCCAGCCATCCATCTCTTTATTTTGTCCTTGAAATTCATTTGTTGAAGAAACTGGGTTGTATATCCTGAAGTTTTCCATGGTCTAGATTTGGTTATTGAATCTCCAACGTGTAGCTTAATATGTTCCTCTGTCCTCCATGTTTTCCTTAAATCTGGAGGCAGATCTAGAGAATGGATCAGATTCAGGTTCAATGTTTTGGCCAGACTGCTTCGTAAGTGATGTCTTCCCTTCAGAGGCACATGTCTAGCTGCCTTTTGTTTTTGATGTTGGTCCCCATTCACGTACAGCCTACATGCACTAATGATTCATTGAGTATTGCAAAGTATAAGACGGGTTGAGCATTCCTAACCCAAAATTCTGAAATCCAAAATGCTACAAAATCCGAAATTTTTGAGCACAGTCATCACATCACAAGTGGAAAATTCCATACCTGCCCTCATGTGACAGGTTGAAGTCAAAACTTTGTTTCGTGCACAAAATTATTTAAAATATTGTATGAAATTACCTTCAGTCTATGTGTGTAAGGTGTAGATAATGAAATATGAATGAATTTCATGTTTAGACTTGGGTCCCATCCCAAGATCTCTCATTATGTATATGCAAATATTCCAAAATCCAAAAAATTTGAAAGTTGAAACACTTCTGGTCCCAAGCATTTCATATAAGGGATATTAAACGTGTACTGTATTCTGATTTATCATCCCTTCTTCATTTATTAGCTGAAATATTTCAATAAAGAGAAACTTCCTCTCCTTTACCTTTGGTAACCCAGTGGAACAGTTCATTACAGGAAAGGCAGGATAAACGATTGATGGGTTGATTCACTAACATCCTTCCCAATGCTCCAACTATAAGAAGTAACATTTTGCCTTGTTTTTGTTTTAAGAATAATTAAGCCTGAATTTAAACATATTAGATTTGTTTCAATGTATTGCCATTAATATCCTTGTCGATGTTCAAATCACCCCATCGCTGAACATATGGATCCACGTTGGTTCATGGGTCTTTTGACATGATCCTAATAGTCTTTCGTAGCTTCCTTGTATCTGGTATGACAAAATAGCGCAGACTCATCTTCTACATTTCCTGTCTGTGATGTTCAGCCATTTCTCCAAGGATTCCCGGTTCCTTTTGGTGGAAAATGGTTTTGGAAGAACACGTTTGGGATGTTAGGGGTGGTCATCATTTCTAGGTCTTTTCAGTGGACAGAGAACACACACACACACACACACACAAAATATATCATAAGTTCATATTCATGCATATAATCCAAATCGATACCAAATCTGTTAGTTAAATAACAGATTAGTACCCCATGGTGTGTGTGTGTGTGTGTGTGTATAGGAAGAGAGGATGGTATACCTGTTTTCAAACAGGAAAAAAATACAAAGATCTTACTGAACTGACTTAACGAGAGGAAGATTATTAAATGTGTGCCTGCAAAGCCAGTTTTTTACCCCTCTCCAGGAACAGATTTGAAATAGGCTAGAAGAATGGAAAGACAAAGTTGAGAGGTGACTAATGGGAGGTCAAAAAATGGGTGTTGGGGATGGGAAGGAATGTCTGAAGCAGGGGACAGCAGGAACAGAAAAGAACAGGTGTCCTCCAGTGTAGAATTCTGCAGGCTCATTACCTCCGTATAATCCACCGTTCACATGTCCTGGAAACTTGGAAAGAACTTCTGAAATATTCACGGGTAAAGAAATTAGGATGCCTCATATGGGCATAGAAACAGAGGAGGAGAACTTGCTCCCTGACCAAGGAGATAATGAGAAGAGCAATCTGTAAATTTTCCAATGAAAGGCGATGCATTGAATTCAAACCATTGTCAAAGTAGAACTCTTTATCTTCTGTAACTTGTCGTTTTCACTTAAATTTGGTTTCAAGATTTATCCATGTTGCTGTGTATAAAGATCTAGTGCATTTGTTTTCATTGCTATAGAATATTCCACATGAATATACTGTATTGTGAAAGCTACTGAGATAATGCTTCAATGAATATCCTGTTACATGTCTCATTGTGCACATATATGAGTTACTCTAGGGTAACAGAAGTGGAATCACAAGGGCGTAGCATAATCACATCCTCAGTTTTATCAAATATTGCTTCATCTTTCTTCGAAGTGGTCTGAGCAAGGAGTCTGAACATGTTTTAAAACGTTTTTACTATTTCTTTTCTTTGAATTGTCCGTCAATATCCTTTGTAAAGCCTTTTATTTATTTGTCCTTTTCTTATTGATTGGCAGTTCTTTAAAAAAATACAAATACTAATTTTATATTGGTTACATTGGTTGCAATTATCTTCTCCCAACTTGTGAATTGATTATTAATAAAATTCACTGTCCAAAACCGCAATTACTTTTGCACCACTCTAATAATAAAATTGTAACCAATGGCATCTTTGTAGAGTTTTAGATTTTAACACAGTTTTATTTATTTCTTTGTGAGTTCTGCTTTTCTTCTTCTTTAAAAATCCTTGTTTATCCTCAATGCTGCATAATCAGTCTCATATTTTCTTTTCTAAGAATTAAGAATTTTCACATTTTAAAAAAACTTCATCTTTAACATGCTGAGAGGTAGAGATATAATTTTATTTTTCCATATAGGTAACCAATCACATCAGCATCATGTATTCATAGTTCATCTTTTCCCCATTTATTTGCCATCCCTCTTAGATGTCAAGTTTCCCAATATGTGAAGTGTGACCTCCACTCTCTGCAACTGGTCTGCTTATTAATCAGTGAGTCAATACAACAATGTCTTAATTACAAAAGTTTTAGAAATCAAGACCAGTAGGGCAAATTTCTTACCTGTTCTTTGGACATTGTTTTAGTTATTCTTTGTCTTTTGATCTTCATATGACTTAGAATCAGCTTGTCAAATTTCACTGAAAACTCACTGAGTTTGTGATTGAAATTATGCTGAGTTAATAAATATATTTTTGTTAAGAATTGTCATCTTTAGGATACTGAGCCTTTCCAAGTAGGAACATGATACAGCTCTTCATTTCATTCTTTTTTGTCCTTCATTAATATTTTGTAATTTTCTACATAAAAGTCTTATATGTGTTTTACTGGAATTTTCCCTATGCTTCTAATAGGGACAGATCCTATCTGGAAAGTTTTGAAGCTTATATTATTTGAGGGGCTCTTCTTAAGAAAAACAGGACAATACTGCAAATATAAATTGCCCACTTCCCCAGGATTGTGTGTGTAAGTAAAACACCCCGAAACCTAAGCCTCATTAGCTTGACTCTAAATCTGCCCCTACACCCTATGGTTTTGTGAATTCCTTATTGTGAAAGAGATTGTTGAAAAACTGCTAAGTTTTAAAAAATGCTAGTGAGTTCTTCATGTTGACATTGTTCCCAGAAAATATGCTATCTTATTACTTTCAATATTTTGCCTTTGGCATCCCTTGGGTTTTCCATGAAGACAATCAAATTATCTGCAGGTCAGGCCAATGTTATCTCGTTTTCCTATGTTTGTGTCAAATATGATGAAGCACCAAATGTCTTTTAAAATGACACAAAACACAATGCCAGCTAAAGTTAATCACTGGAACAAATAGGAAGCCTGCACATTCTAAAAGAAAACATAAAAGTAAGCTTATTTCAATAAAGTTCCCATATACACAAACATGTCTATACATATGTGACATTTTCTAGATATGATTTACTCTGACCTTAAGAGTATTTAGTCTTCACAAAGATGCATAGATGCTTGGCACACTTAATCATACTTAATACCACTTCTTATCCACCAACTACTACTTTCCTTTCAATAAAAGTAAATTTATACTTCACGTTATTGTAAACCATTCATTTATGGTGGATGGTTTCTATTTAAGACATAAACTACTATGATTTTTCATTAAACTTTTAAATTCTTTCTTAAAAAATGAAAGTAATTCTTGACAATATCAAATGTATTTTGCTTGTAATCTGACATTATTTTCAAGTTAACTAGAGCATTCTGAGTAAGCAAAATAGAATGTATTTTCCCAGACGAAATGTTTGATAAATGAAAGGGGAAATTCTAAAAGCTCTTAATTCATTATGAATAGTGATTCTTACCTGAAGATACTGAATATATAATTTCTGCATTGTTTCCTTCATCAAGATCCTTTGCAAACACAGTTGTAACCAACATATTTACTGGTTGACCTTCCAGAACCTGTCATTAAAACAAATGGCTTACATATGAGTCAGCGAAAGTTTAAAGAGAAATATCAATGGACCTTTAAATGAAAGAAGACACAACACTAAGCATTTGTAAACTATTTTAAAATCCATGTACAATTCAAATGTTTACCCTATAAAATTATATGGGTATAAGTCTATGAAAAGAATGCTCCTTACAAATTAAATCTTTTACTCAATTTGAATGCATTATCTGGGGCATGTGAGCTAATTCTGGAAAAAAAAAAAGGAAATCAAGTTAACTACATGATCTTAGATTTGGGTGTATTTTAAGAATTCTAGCATATTCTCATTGATCACCTTCTTAGGACATTTTTTCAAAGGTTGTTGTTATGGTCCAAAATATGCTTAAAATAAACATAAACCTTTATTTCAGGAAACATAGGATGTAGGACATAGCTCATTAATTAACAGGGATTTTCCCATAATGCTGAAATGCACATGTGAAGTTCAACTTCATGTTTAGAGTCCAACTGCCCAATTAAGACACAGGATATCTTAATGATATGATTAAAAATCATAATGACAATATGATAATGTTTGCTTCATTAGAATTTTTCTTTAAATCTGGCTCTGGAAGATCAGTTTAAAATTAAGTTCCTCAATACCTTTTTCGAGTCATTCAGTATGCATAGTTGAGCACAGTTTGAATGTCTAATTTAATGGTTTTGGAGCAGTAGCTTCCAAACTTTTTTTTCTTATAACCCATCCATTTAAAAAAAATTATGATTACATCCAAGATATATTTATTTATTAATTATGTACATGAACCACTATATGAATTAATTATGTATATTATAAAATATACAAAAACCTGGAAATGACAAAGTTGAGATAATACAAATATAATCAGAAGTTTGTACATGTGCTCAAAAAGAACAACTCAACTTCTACAGTCTCTGAAAGTACACCCATCCCTTTGGACCTATAGATTTTTCCCCTACCTTTAACATCTAATATCTAATATAGATATCGATTGCTCATAAGAAGCTCTGCACAAAGAGATGCATGTACACTACTGGAAAAACAATCCTTGTTTGAACATTACTGCTCCTAAGGTACCATTATGCTTATATACAGTAGGAAAAACTACATTAATTATTATAAAGCACATATATCCATTTTCTTTTTTAAAAAATGTCTTTTTTAACATGCACAAAATCTAGAGCTCCTCGAAAAATACACGCTGCCACACAAAGAGTGATGTGATGAATTCACACGTTTTACCACAAGATGGTGCTCAAGACAAATGACTAAAGATACTACAAATTCCTTGCAAGCCTACTTCACAAACCTTGATGTGCAATTCCTTTCCATGGATATACTGTGGGAAGAACGGCCTGTTATCATTGATGTCAGTAACTGACACATAAACTGCCATGGTGGCATTTCGCGGTGGGGAGCCACAGTCTGTCACTAGCACAGCCATCTCATGGTGCACCTGATGTTCGTGATCCAATGCCACCCAACTGAGCAGCTCGCCTGGGGACATAGAGTAGAACAAAAGACACATACACTGTGTTCTAGAATACTGGCTTATGGACCACATCCAACACAAGTCACAGAAGCAAAATCAGACTTAAAGCTTACAGCCAAAGTGTGACTTCCAAGACCACATTAATAGTAGTTTGGCTCTATGGTACTGTTGAATGAATTTTCTGCAGTTGCTCCTGAAAATGCCACTTTAAATCAGTTATTCTTAATTTAATTTTATTTTATTTTTTATTTTTTCATTTTTATTTTTTTGAGACAGAGTCTCACTCTGTTGTCTGGGCTAGAGTGCCGTGGCGTCAGCCTAGCTCAGACTCCTGGGCTCAAGCGATCCTCCTGCCTCAGCTTCCCGAGTAGCTGGGACTACAGGCATGCGCCACCATGCCTGGCTAATTTTTTCTGTATGTTTTAGTTGTCCAGCTAATTTCTTTCTATTTTTAGTAGAGACGGGGTCTCGCTCTTGCTCAGGCTGATCTCGAAAGCCTGAGCTGAAATGATCCACCTGCCTTGGCCTCCCACAGTGTTATGATTACAGGCGTGAGCCACCGCACCCGCTGTAAACTGGTTATATTTTGTAGCTCGAATTATCTACCATTAACCATTTGAACATAAAAAAAAAAAAACCCATGAACTCACAAAAACAAATGGCAAAAACTCTGCGGAAACTTGGTAATAATTCAGAAGATTTAAAATTGCTGCTTATCTCTCTATGTTGATAAGACAATGGAAATCTTGTAAGCTCTGACATCAAAAGTTTCAGGTCTGGGTCCCAGTTCTGCCATCTTAGACATGTAACAACCTCTCTGAGGCTATCTTCTAGGACTGCTGCCAGGAACAAGTGCAATCCTAAATTTACAAGTATTTTGTAATTATTACATCCAGAGCAGTTGTTAATATACTTTAAAATAATAGAAAGATATCTTTCTGAAAGTCAAATAATATTCCTTAGGCAACGGTTCATTTTTAATGCATACGGATATTCATTTTTATCTCACGAAATATAGGCATAGTGATGGACAGTCACTTTTTTAATAACTCTGTGTTATAAGTCTTGTTTTACATATTTTTGCCCAGAACTGCACTATCTTTGGTAAATTCCCTCATGTGTCAGCCATGGAAATTCAAGCATAAAATTCTAATGCCAAGGGCCTTAGAGAGCCGAGTGCTCTCCTTGATAGCCCATCTCCTGCTGCAGAGCTCTGCTAAGCATTGGTTTCTTCAACATTCATGAAAAAATTTACCTGTGAGAAAGCAAACATGAAGCTGCTATCACCAAACATTCCTATCACTATGAATTTTTTCCTCTTAATCCAAATAAAATGACATTGTGTTTTAAAAAAAAAAAAAGCTGAAATGACAAAAATGAAAATTCACATTTGGATAAAGTTGCCGCATTTGTGGGCTTAAATGCAGCGTTTATTATAACTGCATAAACTATGTTTATATAGTTTACTGAGATTTTAATAAAGATCACATCACAACTGCATTTTTTTAAGTTCCAAACTGTAATTCTCTTCTGAAGACCTTAAATTCTGAATGGCAAACAGACTTTTATTTCATGAACCAATTCTGATTGACAAGAAGCAGCTGTCTGGAGGTCAGGGGTGGAAAAGACTGCAGCTCAGCCCGGGGCTGATGTGGGTGACACCAAGGCAGGGTTCCACGGGAGCTAGGGTCCCTGTCACTAGGAAGACTGCCCGGAGCACTGGAACGGGGAGGATGGGTGTGCCTGCTGTACTGTGAAGGATACCCCCACCCTGCCTTGACACACTGTTCCTGGCGGCAGGAACGGTTTACAAGCACAGTCTCTCAAGGCCCTTCATACACTTTAGCTCTTTACCTCTCAGAGCATGACACAGAGCATGTCAGGAATTATCTCTTCTATTCATAGTAAGGAAACTGAGCTTTGGGCTTAAGTTACTTGCTTAAAGCCATACGACAAAATTAGGAATAAATCTAGGAGCTAGACTGATTGTAGAAAAGGGAAGATCATGGGGAAACTGACTGTAGTATGAACATTTTCAAAAAAAAAAAAAAAAAAGTCACCAAGTAAAACAGACGACCTAGAAAACTATGTAGCCACATGGAAGTAAGTACAAGCAGGGCCATCCTGTGTACCTGCATGGCTTGTGCCCTGCAGAAGGGGTCCCGGCTTAAGGAGTGAATGGGAGCAGAAATGCAGTTTGTACCCTTCTTGGCAAGCCATGTGCCCTGCTGAAAAGCTCCATCTGTTTAGGAAGGGGCACCTTCTCCTAAATCACAACCTTCAAAAGGTTGAAGTTAATATGAACTGAATTTAAATTCTGTCCCACCAAAGGGCAGTGGCACCATTTGCACAGGGTATGACACAGATGGTGCCTCCTGGGGCTGTACAAAGTGGTGGCTTCCCCTTACCTCCTACTCACTGCACGACCTTGGGCATGGTACTTGAGCTGAGTCTCAGTTTTCCCGGCTATGCATTTGAAGTATAAATATATTTCATTGTAGGGATTAAATAATATCCTTGTAAATCTATATAATATAAAATTTAAACTATAATGACTTTTAATATTTAATTTCTTAATTAAGACTTCAAAAAAAATCCACTGTAATTATTCTCCTTTTCCCCTGGTTCCCTTGCCAAGAATGGGAACAGATATTCCTAGAGTGATTTTGAAATTTTAACTAATGGATTGATTTCTAGTCTTACATCAATGGCATATGTATTTCATAAAATATACTTTGACATTTTTTAAAAGCCTACACGTGAAAGAGAATGGTCGGTGAAAAAAATTAGCCTTTACATAAAGATGTATTCAATCCAGTTCAGACTATAGCTCTAATTCAGAATAAGAACCATATACTGGCAATGTATAGGTATGAAGCAAAAGAAGTGTGAATCATTATAGGTGAAATCCTGTTCAATTTTTACTTCATTTTAAAATCTCACAATACTATATCAAATACTCTATTTACTAAATACAGTGATTTTAATTGTATGTTTGTACTAATGCTATACTTAAAGACATGAGTTGTCTCGATCCTGATTTTAAAGGAAAAAGTGGAAGCTACAAAATGCTACCTGTATTAGGATTCATCCTGAAGAATTTTCCATCAGACAAAAGGAAATACAATAGCTGTCCATTCTTTCCAGAGTCTGCGTCAATAGCTGTAATTCTGCCTATTACCCCTTGGGGAACGGGGCTCTCTTCAACTTTCAAAAACAACACATCATGCAAGAAGGTAGGGGAATTGTCATTCTCATCCAGGACATGAACGATTACTGAAGTGCTCACATTTTGCAGCAATCTGTCCTCCGGGATCCAGGCAAACACTCTAAAATTGTATGTTTGTGTGGATTCATAGTCGAGCTGTCGCCGCAAATAAATCCAACCTGTGTGAGGGCGGATTCCGAACGCGGCAGAGGCGCTGGGTTCCAGCGAGTACATCGGCTCTGAGGCCGAGCGCTGCGGGCCAAGGCGGCGGGCCCGTGCTTGCAGGACTTGTGTCCTCGGCGGGAGAGACTCACTCACTTCCGCTTGATAGACTAAATGTTCAAAAGTCAAGGAGGGGCTTTGTTCTTGTTTTTCAACAACTACCGTCAGGACCAGCAGGGATGCCCGAGGGGGAACGCCGAGGTCCTCGGCCATGAGCGTCAGCACGTGCTTCTGCGGCACGTCGCCTCCCGGACTGGCGTTGAGGTACAGCACACCAAGACCTCTGTCGACGGCGAAGAGGCTCGGATGCTGGCTGGCGATGGCGTACCGGATGAATCCATTCGGCCCGCTGTCTCTGTCTTCCGCACGCGCGCGGTACAGGGCTGTGCCAGGTGGAGTGGTCTGCGGTATTCGAATCTCTTCAGCGGCCGAGAGAAACACGGGGTGGTTGTCGTTGACATCGATTACGGTTATGTTGACCTCCGTGCTGCTGCAGGCTGGGGAGCTGCCGAGCTGCGCCTGGACCGTGAGCACAGCCATGGGCTGCGTTTCGTGATCCAGAGGCTTCCGGGTGCGAATTGTGCCCAGCCACGGGTGAATGGAGAACTTTCCGTCCAGGTTACCAGAAGAAATTCTGTAAAAGATTGGTTCTGAGGAATCTGAAAAGAGAGAGACAACCACCACTGTATGCCAAAAGAATGTACCGACTGGAAACGCTGAAGTTGGAAATATTAATACAGCCAGGTACCGCATAATGACAGTTCAATCAATGATGGACGGCATATACCGTGCTGGTCCCATAAAATTACAATGCCATATCTTTACTGTATCTTTTCTATGTTTAGATATGTTTAGATGCACAAATATTTACCACTGTGTCACAATTGCCTAAAGTATTCAATATAGTAACATGCTGTACAGGTTTGTAGCACAGTAGGCTATACCATCTAAGTTCGTGTAAGTACACTCGGTGAGATGTGAACGACAACGCAATCACCTAAGGGCGTATTTCTCAGAATGTTTCCCTGTTGTTAAGGATGCATGACTATATATATTGCATCTGTGGAGAATACTGTGCAGTGTTTTCCTTCTTCCTAAGCTTTCCAAGACTGTTGAGAAGTGGACACACGGTTTGAGATTATTTGGCAGACAAAGAGAATGTGAAGTGGACAAAAAGCAAGACACAGCTTTCACTGTCTCCCTTCATTCCTCCTGCATTAGATAAAAGGGAAAGATACTCAGAAACTAACTTGGCTATCTTTTTTATATAACTGAGGAAGCCAAGTTAAGTTTATGTTGATGTTTCTCTGTGATAGCTACCTACGAAGGGCAAGTGCCCTCCACAGAGGTTGAGGCAAGGGAGAGAGGAAGGAACAGGAACAGATTAGGAGGAGGACAAGCTCTTTGGAGAGGTAATTCAATTCCAAAAATTTATCCTGCAAAGGTGCCTCTACAAGTGTGAAAAGGTCACACAAGGCTATTTGCTCAAGTACTGTTTGGACTAGTGAAAATTTTTAAATCATTCGAATTGGTAGCAAGAGGGAAATGTTTAAATAAAACATATGTAAGTTCAAATACTATGCAATTTTTAAAAAATGAAGACAGTATGAGCTAGAATTACCTGGAAAGCTGTTCAGTAAATACTAAGTGAGGAGGGAAAAGGTAATTGTATAACAACAAACAGTAGGATGCATTTTTGTAAAAAAATTTTAGAAGTGTATGTGTGATTTTTGGTGAGGGGGTTAGAGTAGACACATACTTTGTACCTTATAATTATTGTGTATTGTTTTAAACTTTCTTTTAAAAATATCCATTAGCTTTCTGATCAGAAATATAAATTGTGGAATGTTGAAAGAACAAAGAGCAAGCCACAGGTTGTGCTATCTCCCTGCATTTGTCTTGCATGTAGAGAAGAAAAGAATTACTCAAGATTGCATAGCCTAAGAACACAGGGAATGTTCCAATAATGGACTCTGATGCAGCGTAAGAAACAAACACTCACTCAAGGGCTCGCTTGCTTTCACTGTCCCAACAGGACTGTCTTCAGGCACATCTTCATAAATGGAGAAAGTATACTTAGGCCTTTCAAATTCAGCAGGCGCCAGAACTGTCTGGAGAATGTGTATAGTGACATCGGCATTAATGACAGCTGTGAGCCCACCACCATCTCGAGCACAGACCATCAGCAAAAGTGTAGTGGATTCCAAGTGACTAAGAGTTGATGTTAAGTAAATAATTCCTGGGAAGGGGAAAGAAAGAATTAATAAACAGATAACATGTAAGAAATGCTGACGAGCAATAGTAACACCTGGTCTATTCAGTCTACTGTGATGTTCAGTTTTATGTATCAACTTAACTGAGCCATGGGGTGGCCAGATATTTGGTCGAACATTATTCTGGGTGTGTCTGTGAGGGCATTTTTGGATGAGATAAACATTTAAATCTGTAGACTGAATAAAGAAGATTGTTCTCCCTAATGTGGGTGGGCCTCATCCAATCAGTTGAAGGCCTAAATAGAATAAAAAAGCTGACCCTCTCCTGAGTAAGAATTTCTCCTGCCTTCAAACTGGGACATTGTTTTGTTTTGTTTTTAACTCCTGCTCTCAAACTCAAACATCAGCTCTTCCTGGGGCTTGAGCTTCTAGTCTTCAGTCTGGAAATTCATCACTGGTCCTCCTGGCTCTCAGGCTGTCAGACTCAGACTGGAACTACACCATCAGCTCTCCTGGGTTCAGTTTTCTGATTCATCTTGCAGATCTTGGGACTTGCCAGCCTCAATAATTGCATGAGCCAATTCCTCATAATAAATCTCTTCGCATATCTATAAATGTGTGTGTCTGTGTGTGTGTACACATGCATACACACATACGCATCGTATTAGTTGTGTTTCTCTGGAGAACCCCAACTGATACATCCATTTTCCAACCAAAAGAACTTGAGCATATTTGCAAAATGATGGTCCAAATTCTGTCAGGTATGCAGTATTTTCCCAGAGCTTAAACGTTAGAAATCCTGGAAGTAGAGCAAGTCAGAAAAATGTAAATTGTGTTGCCTTTTTTGGGCCCTAGTACCATATCTAGAGCCCAAGATGACGGAATAACAGAGTATATCCCATAGTCCATTGTATTCGAACATGGGGATAACTTGGGGTTGTAGGGTGACCAGAATCCCAAGGCTATAGGATGAAACTAAATTTTATCTTCTAAGGTATTTGACACGTGCCTTGAAGTAGACCATGTAGGATAGCTCTATTTTTCAACTGATTCCACTCTACCTTTGTTGGTGAGAAAACATAATACTAATACAATAGCTGTGTGTAAGAAAACTTCAGTAAATGTGAAAACTATGGAGACAAGAGTGGCAAGTTAGGCTTATATATGTAGAGTGTGTGAGAGGAGGTGTTTTTGGTTAAGTCAGGGAGAGATTTAGTAATGATGACAAAGCTAATTATGTCCTAAGAGTAATATTACCCCTTAGGGTACTAGTTTGAAACATGAAAATAGATCTAACATAACCAACTTAAGAAATGAACCTGTTAGTTTTGTTTAATGTAAAAGAAAATACATGCAAACTTATTAAATGAATTTACATATAATAAATATGGCTGAACTTTATGGAATCTGTCATGGTGTGACTGGCCATAATAATTAGTTTTTTTTTTTTTTTTTTTGAGACAGAGTCTCACCCTGTTGCCTGGGCTAGAGTGCCGTGCCATCAGCCTAGCTCAGCCTAGCTCATAACCTCAAACTCCTGGGCTCAAGCAATCCTCCTGCCTCAGCCTCCTGGGTAGCTGGGACTACAGGCACGTGCCACCGTGCCCGGCTAATTTTTTCTATTTTTAATTGTTTGGCTAGTTTCTTTCTATATTTATAATAGAGACAGGGTCTCGCTCTTGCTCAGGCTGGTCTCAAACTCCTGAGCTCAAGCAATCCTCCCGCCTCGGCCTCCCAGAGTGCTAGGATTACAGGCATGAGCCACCACGTCCGGCCCTAATAATTAGTTAAATGAAGGGATACTGTAGTCTTTGCCAGTTTATGAGAAGCTGGCAAAAACATCAGGAATATCAGATTCTAGGCATAAAAAAGGAGATGCCATTTGATTTCCTTCTTTTTTAAGTCAAAAGCTGCCCTCTTACAATGTCAATTCCTTGTTTCTATTTCACCTAGAAGTTTAATGAAATATGTCTTATTTCTCTGTGGCATGATGCATCATCAATAACTTACGTCAAATGTCTTGCCTGACCTGGCTCCAAACACTACATCCCCATTTTCTTTCTTTTCCCCAGATTTATGGAGGGGGGGATGTAACTGACAAATAAAATTGTATAAGTCTGAGGTGTACAATGTGACAATTTGAGATATACATACTATCGTTTTCTTCAATAGTTCCTTATCTAACATGATTTTAAGTCATTTCCCTCACAGTTCTTTTCTCCCAAACATGCTTCAAGTTGATCATCTCACTTTTGACACCCAAAGTGAACACGTTTCCAGATACAATCTGACTATTACAAAGCAAGGTATAAAAACTCTTTATTAGGATACTATAAAATACTAATGTAACCAACTATATTATTACACTAGCTATTAGCAATCATATTAAAATTTGGGTTCATACTGATTTATTTGGTGGTTCATGAAAACACTCAATACTTGTCAGACAAGAGATCTGATTTAGAAATAGGCAGATCTTTCCCATCTGTTATTGGTGCAGTTTTTTAAAACAATATTGTTTTATTATTAAAGTCTATGTTTGATTGAAAAAAATAAAACTCAAATAATACAAATGTGTCTACAGAAGAAAATGAAAAGTTCCCTTATCTCCAAACCATCTGTACTCCCCAGGTATATATTCTTCCAGAGGTAACTCAATTTCAATTATAGAGAAATTTTGAAAATTATCATTTTTCCCCCTTGATGATTATGGCTATGATAATGAAAAAATTAATGTCTGCCTCAACTAGATACAACTTGGTCTTCCTGCCTCCAGACTGACTCCTTCTGAACAATTTTTCATTCTTGTGTTAGGATAGTCTTGAAATCCAAATCTTGACATATCATTGCCTCCACATGTTTTCAGGGTAAATTCAAATGACTTAACACACCAAGCCATTCATAAGTTGACCCTTCTCCCTCTCCGTAGCCCCATCTCCTCACCCTCTGTACAGTACCTTTCACTCTAGGCAAAGTGAACTACTTGTAATTTCCAGAATAGACCTCGCTCTTTTCTATTTGGATTGCTGCATCCTCTTGCCAAAACAACTTCTTCATCTTCTTCGATTTAATGATTTCTAGTTATATTCTAAAGCACAGCTCAAGTCTTGCCTGGTGCAGATGGCCTTCTCTACATGTTACTCTTCTATGATCCCATGGTGCCCAGGATATATATGCTTATTATAAACTTAACATGTTGTATTTTAATTATCAGTTATTATCTTTCTTATCATCCATTAATTTACTCAATGATTTATAAATTAAAAGACAACATTTTGAAAATATATAAACAATTTAGTATCCATAAGAAACAGAGAGTTCTGCAATCAAGATTTAAAGTCAAGTAACCTGAAAGTTGGTTAACAGTGGATAAACACAGGTAGATTAGATAAGAAAGAATAAAATGTTAATAAACAATAATGCTCAAACTCGTAATAATAACAGAAAAGTAAAATTAAAACAATTACCTCTTGTTTTTACCTCTAATGTTTCTTAAAATATTTAAGTGATAATGTCCAAGGTTAATAAAGGATGTGGCATTTACATATATTCTCCAAAAGGCACTTTGGCAATATCCATCAAACTTTCAATTGTTCATATTCAATAATCCAGAAATCTACTGTATACTTGCATAAGTACACAGAAATAAATGAACAGTATGTATTTTTCCACACTGCAAATGACCTTAATATCCATCAAGAAAAGAATGAATGGTTCAATCTATTAGAGTGTATCAATATAATAGAACATAATGTAGCATCAAAATATAATGAAGAAAATATATATTTTTTCAGGTAGAAAGATTTTACATGCTATTAATACATTTTATGTGAAAACAAGTTGCAAAAGTGAATCTATAGTATAATCCATTGTGTTAGAAAATGTTAGTACTGCATGTATTAACCAGGATTCTCCAAAGAAACAAACCAATAGGATAGTAGATAGGTAGATAGGTAAGTAGGTAGGTAGATAAATAGACAGGGTTACTACAAGGAATTGGCTGAGATTATGAAAGCTGAGAAGTCCCATGATCTGTCATCTGCAAGCTGGAGACCCAGGAAAGCTGGTGGTATGGTGTGAAGGCCTCATGGCCAGAGAGCCAATGGTGTAGATTCTAGTGAGGGTCTGAAGGCCTGAGAACCAGAAGCACCCAGGGCAGGAAAAGATCAATGTCCCAGCTCAAACTGTCAGGCAGAGAGTAAATTCAACCTTCCCGACCTTTTTCTTCTGTTCAGGCCCTCAGTGAATTAGACGGTCTGCTTTACTCCATCCACCAATTCAAAAGCTAATCTCGTCTGGATATCCCCTCACGGACACAGACCCAGAAATAATGTTTAACCAGATATCTGGGCATGCTGTGGAACAGTCAAGTTAACACATAAAATTAATCATCACACTGAATAAACATTTAAAAAATGATGGTATATCTCTATTTAATGCAAAAGAAAAATTCATGAAATCCTGCTAAGTGAGAATGTGAGGTTACAGAACAATATGGAAAGTATAAGTATAAACACTAACACAGACACTGTATGTGGGCACACACAGAAATATGTGCATTGGAACATATGAAAGGATATGAAAAACTGTCAAGAGAAGGGCTGAGATTATAGACAGCTCACTTTCAATTTCCTACATTCCCACAGTTTAAGATATTTAACAATGAGCATATGTTAACTTTGTAAATAAAAATACACATTAAAATAGTAAAGATATTCAGAAAATGAACATATATTTGTTACATATATATTAAACATAATATATACTACCTTTCTTTAGAGCTATGAAGGAAACCTGCATACTATTAATATAGTAAAGATTTACATTGAACATTAAAATGTGTTTCTTTAAAAAGAATTATACAAGATACTTCTTTAAAAATAGGATTCCTATATAAAAAATTTTTAAGGTTGAATGTCAATGGAAATTTCAGAAGCAGCAAGTAAAGATATCTTGAGGCTGAGATACACGTGCTCTAGTGAAATTGTCTATTGTTCAAACATGAAAAATAATGTTTCAGATGCTC